AATAAATTCTGTTTATTTTTCTTAATAATGCAATATTTCAAACAAGCAATTTTAAACCCCATTTGTCCTCCCCGCTTTTCTTTTCCATTCCCTCTCTATTTTTTTTATAATTACCACCCCTTCTCTTTATGCTTCCTTGCTCAGTTAATTCCAACTCTCTTTGTAAAATTTTTCATCCAAATTTCCCTGTCTTCATTCCATGTCCTCAACTTTCCGTTTCTTACATTCTATAGCTGTTGTGTATCTTTTTTTTTCTTTCTTACTCTCTAACTTCTTTCTGAATTTTTGGCTCTTCTACTGTCCAATTGTTTTCAGTTGCTTTATATTTTCTTTAATTTTAGATAAATTTCCAACATTCTTCTGGAAATTACAACCTTCAAACAACTTCCCGCATTTATATAAAACCTAGTCATAATATTAGCTTTGTTAAGTAAATCATCTATGCAACCAACTTTTATACTTAACAATCTTTTCTCAAACCAAAATTGTTAAAATTACTGTTAAAAGATGTCACTGGATATGCGTGAGTCCAAATGTTACGTTGAATGTGTGAGTCACTTCGGCCTCAAAAGCTACGGCGAGGCCGAAACTTCCAATATGAGCCCAAAAGTATATATACGTGAGAGAATTTGAGGTCGAAAGTTATCATTAACATATATATTAATATATATATATATATATTAATATATTATATATATTATATTAATATATATATATATTAATATATTAATATCAGGAGAGTTCTCACTTGAGAAAATTACCTGCCTCTTAGACTCGCTATTAATAGGAAAAAATTAGGAGGATTATTATCAACAAGTTAGTATCTTTGAAAGGGGGTGGTTTTCAGCACCAACGCTCTTTACTCAAGAGGAGTTACTAGATAACTCAGTTGTGTTCTGTGGATTGATCACATTCACTTGCAAGATGGCCGCACTTGATACAAACATTATAATAATAGTAAAAGGTCCTGTAGGGGTGTTCTCATATTTAATTATGAGGGACGCGGGAAGTCCGATATTGTCATTGGGCTGCACAAAAATTTGTCGACGGAAATTAAGCATGAGCGCTTAATTTTCGCCCTCGAGCTTTGCTTTCAGGAACAAGATTGGAGAAACAATGTCAAAAGCATGAGAAATCGATGGACCGACATTTGATAGAGTAATTATACGTGCGGGATTAAACAAGAAATTTGTTTATTGATACCTGAGAATGGTTGGGGACAACTTCAACTACCAATCTACAGAGCCAAGATAAATGCATACTCGGCTATTGGTTAAGAGCGATGCGATGCAAACATGTTTGTATAGTGGTGGAAATACCCCAGGGGTAAAAATTTTTCTCTTTCTATCTTATGCACTTTGTGTGAGGCAAGAAATTACAAAATTTTGAGTATGCCATAGAAATTTTATGTTAAATTTTGAAATTGTTACCAAAATTATTTGTCAAAGAAAATCTTTGGTTTATTTAACGTTTTACTTTTGAATAATGAAACGATTTAGTGATCAAACTAAACAAATTATATTAATCTGTTAATTTTCTAGAAAAAAAAAACGCCAATGTTGTGCAATTTAAGAAAAAAAGAAAAACGGAACTAGAGGCTGAAATGTAAAAAATTTCTGAAAAATCTTTATATAATTTACACAAAAATACAGGGTCAAGTGATATGAAGTACAAAGACAATATGTCCACTACTAATAGAAATATAAATACTCAAGTAAATCCTGTAGATTTAATGTCAGTCAGGGAAATTATGTATAAAATGATTCCACCTAATCAACACGTAACTATTAAGTTGCTTCATCCCAGAGTTGTGGAAGAGGTACCGAAAAAATAAAAATCGATTGTTTCTAATGGAGAGGTCATCCATTAAGCCAAGCAGAGCAAAATTTTTGGGTGAATATCAGGACCACAAAAAAAAACAAAATTATACATACTAACCCCTTTTTCTGGATGAAACTTGGATATTTAGTAAACTCAAACTGCAATTAAAAAATAGGGAGAACGATGTAGATATATTGTAGTTCACGATGGCAATAAACACGGATTTACTGAAGAAGCGTGTTTAAAAGGCAAAAACATGATGTGCTGAAAACTTGGGAAAATGTAATAAACAAAGTTTCCAATATACACTGAGAAAATTATATTAAGCACATGGAAAAAATCATAGATTCGGCATGGCAAACGGAAAAGTTTGTGGACAATTGTGAAATAATTAATTCATTATCAATGTTAATTCCGTTTCAGATAATATTGATATTGAAGATAATGCCAGTAGAGTAGAGAATTAGAGTTGTGTTAAAAATTAATATCTAATTAAAGAATAAAACTTATAATTATTCAATTAAATTTGAACTTCTGCAATTTGTATTGATATGTTACCATAGCAAGTTATCCGTAACATATAAGAAAGTACATAATTTTGTTCACTAAAAAAAAGGCCACAGTCTAAGTGTTCTGAACAGCAATATTTCTGTGGCGGCACAATAACACGCGGGTAAAGCAGAGTAAAGATAAGTTGTCTTGTGGTGTAGCGGTTAGCATACCAGCCCGGATTGCTTGGAGACGTGGGTTCGAATCCCACCGAGGCACAACATTTTTCTCTGCTTTCCCACATTGGTGACCTCCGACAGGCAACGCGCACGCAACATCCTTCTGCCACCGCCCTGTGCCCGCTGTGTTCGGGGTCCGCAGCACCGCCAGGGTTCGAACGACGAACGTAAGAGTGGCAGGAGCGACGCCAGCAACTATCTCCTTCGCACCCCAGCACGACCGCGCGCTGTGTCGCTGGGGGGGGGGAGTACTGTGGCGGCACAATAACACGCGGGTAAAGCAGAGTAAAGATAAGTTGTCTTGTGGTGTAGCGGTTAGCATACCAGCCCGGATTGCTTGGAGACGTGGGTTCGAATCCCACCGAGGCACAACATTTTTCTCTGCTTTCCCACATTTCCAAGACTTTAGGTTCTATGATATCAGTAATTGCTGATAGATAGAGGTCAATTTCAAGTTGCTGAAACACAATTTCGTGGCAGCCATTTGGGTATCAAATGCCGGTTGCTACGGGCGATGGAGTAAACAAACACATTTGTGTCGAATTTTTCGTTGCAATTTGTAGCATTGAGTTGCGTCATTTCTAGTAGGTAGCAGACGTTATCTCAAAAAATGGTGGTGAAAATGAAAAAAAGATTACCAAGAGAGCTAAAGTATCGTTGTTGCACTCACCTTGCATTAACGTAAATTTTGAACTTAACAATGCAGCATAACTGTGACGCAAATCGGTGCCGCAAAGTGGTGAGTTGCATTAACGCAAGTAGTGAGTTGCATTAACGCAAGTGGTCAACTTGAAATTGTCCCCTTTGTCTGTTAATTGCAAACTGTGTGCAGCCGTAGCAATAATGGTTTGTTCCTTCGTCGAAAAACCACTATATGCTTAGAAGTCATTTTGTAAAACAAGTTCGAAGTATAGGCAGTCAACAATGTCTCAATTATTAGTCATGACGATTATTATAAATTATCTGCTGTCAAATGCAGGTGCAATTGAACTGCACCTCCAGCCACACGATATGCGACTAAACAATAAATGCTTCACGTATAGATAATTCCAAATGATTTCCACAAAGTCAATGAATTATGTCTCCCTGCACAGCAAGGAGACATGATGCACTGCGTGTACATTGTACGATAATAGTTGAGTGTATAGTCGTGAAAAGCAGTAGGTACAACTTAAGTTTTTGGTATTTATTAGGGATGTACCGACTAGTGGCCGACCGGTCGGATAAGCCGACTATTCGGCCGTTTTTCATCGTCGGCTGCAGTCGGCGACTAGTCGGCTAAACAGCCGAACGGTCGGCTTTTTTTATTAAAATTAAAATAGTATACGAGTATGAAACAATTAAGCCTGGTTTACAGAACCTCAATTAAATATTTAATTGCGATTTAATTTTTAACACCGCGTTAAACTACCATGTGATCGACTCTACGCCAATCAGACGTGACTAATGGCCTTGTTAAATGCGCGATCAACTTAATCTCAGTTAAAATATTGTATAAACTGGCCCTTAGATTTTTCAGTTTCTCGATTTTCAATTTTTATTTCTTCAATTTTTGATTTGCATAATAATAATAATTACGACTTAAAATTTTTCACTTTTTCAATTCTACGATGCTAGAATTTTTCCATTTTTGAATTTTTCGATTTTTAATTTTTGAATTTTTCGTTTTGAGTTTTTAGTTTCTTTATTTTTTCAATTTTTAGGTTTTTTAACGTTGTGATTTTCCAATTTTTCAAATTTTGTACTGAGTTACTACAAAAAAATTAAATGTTAAAATTATCCAAACAAATTTAATACATTTTTTGGAAAACAAAGGAACCTTAGTTATTCCTTTTATTTAAATAAAACAAATTTTTAAGGTAGTCAGAGAAATAGAAAAAAAAACACACTGTCTGTCGCATTTATAAACCGGTTTTAGCTAAGCCGAACAGTCGGCCGACTAGTCGGTTTTTACTGGCCGAACAATCGGCTAGTCGGTTAGTCGGCCAGACCTACAGTCGGTACATCTCTAGTATTTATTCTATTTCTAATATTAATAATAATAATGAATGAGATATCGCATCCTGTATGTTCGGTAATGAAATGTTTATTCTGGCATGCATGCGTTTAATTATTTTGAGTAAAAAAAGTCAAGCTGCTAAATTTTACAGTTTTTCAATATGAGTAGGCTCACGAAAAAGTAAGAAAATAAAAAAAGCAAACGTATTGTTTGTCATTGAAAATTAAATCTGAAGAACATAGGCAGTAAATAATTAGGAGTATAATTTATAGCGCTGCGCCGGATTTGTGCAATTTTTATTAATGTAGAATCCTGTCTCACCAAAACTATACGAAGTAGTGAAATTCCGGCACATGATTATTTCCTTGAGATTCTAGTTAATCTGCGTAGACAGTTTCAATTAGATGAGCGTACTTTATTTTGACATAATGAAGGCGATATTTTTCTCTCACCTTTCCAGCAAACGGTAAGCCTGGCTTATAGCTGCGCCTCATTTCCCTGCCGAAACGCAATTCAACGTAATGCTCTTCGGCTGCTGCAACATCAGGAAGTCCATTTCCCACACCCGGAGCTATCTCAATGGGTGCTGAAAACTCGGCGGATTCCACTTCGACGTGTAGCAACCATCTCCCAGAACTTGCATATTCTGACAAAGGCAAGGAGAATGCTTTGACGCCTGTAAACATACCGCTGTGAAAATACACTTTTCTCAATGATGTCTTTATTACACCGAATAAAAAAGTAATTTTAGATGAAAGAAATCTGTAAAATTATATACAGATATTTCTTCGCCTCTGAATCACACCAAATACTGCATGCATGTCGAGGTATATTTTTCATCAATTTTTAAAATAAATAAAAAAAAAATCAATTTTATTTAATGGTCTGTAAAACAAACTGTAACATTTGATGACTCAAGCTTATATTATTTTTTAGTAAAACCCAATTTAGTAACGAAAAACAAGGCTGTACCTTAAAATTAAAAATAAAGGAACATACCATGCTGCAGATTTTAAGTAATGTTTTTACTTAATTAATAGTATTTAGAGATAATCGATCTCATTTTTATAAACTACACTATCGTAGTATGTTGTATAACTTACCTTCGTCTAATGCTATTTGGTCCCATAAAGCTACTTTTGTTCCAGCTGGATCTTTGACGCTAACGCTTCCGATTGAACCTGATGCAATCTGCAAATCATGATCCAACGCTAATACCCAGAAGGATACTGAAAGGATAAAAAAGTTTTATCAAAACTCTTTTTCTGCTATGCACTGCATTTTTTTTAACTAGGTAATTAATCTTGTATTTAACTCATTTATCCGCGTTGGCAGGAGCTGCGTTTCAGTGTTCGGCTGATAAAAATATGTTTTTTCTTGTTTTGTATCTATCTACTACTTCAATCTAAACTTGTTTAATCCCTTAACGCAATATCGAAAGGTTAGTGATTCCCCAAAGAGATACAAAAACGAAGTTCGCAGCTCTTATAATCTTTCAAAAAGAACTTTAAACAATTCTACGGCATCGAACCGACGAAGTTTGTAAAATACAAGTCGAACTTTTAAATGGCGATTAAAGGGATTTGTAATGAACGTTCCAGGGAAAAGACAATAAACAAAGCTCTGGGGGCGATTCAGTTTTATTGTTTCTAGTGAGCACCGCAGAGAAATTAATGCCCCTTTTTCTCCTACCTAGTCATAAATTTTTTATTTATATTAAACTGTGCAGAGTTTTATGGTACCACAGTTGTAAAAAATACATAAACTTAAATAAATATGCCAACGAATAAAGATTCTAAGTAAACTGGCAAATATCACAGAAGGAGAAGTTATTTTAGTATTCCGTGTCAGTATCACAACGTATGGATCATTAGAAAACATTAAATGCATTTTCACATTTATATTTTCTGTGAGTACATGGCGGTCTTTCGTAAGCTGACTTTTCAAAACGATTTACGGTATAAATTTCTTAGTTTTATTTATTATCGCACACACATTAGGGGTATTAGTGCTACAAAAATTTATAGACGTAGTTCGTCTATGTATTATCACTATTCATATTTGACTTGTTATTCAATTTGGTTTAGTAAGCGAAATATCGCTAATTAAATAAAGATATGTGGAAGGTAGGTATGCATTTCATATACATATAGGGTTTTGTTTTTATGGATTGCTCAAAATTAAGCATTTCAAAATTGTTATCTGCATAGGCACCAAACTGTGGCGAAAAGTTTACCAAAATTAAATTTATTTAGGTTCTAGTATATCACAAACACAAGTTCACTGAAATTTGGAAAAACTTCTTTTTTTAAACTATTTCGATTTGATTTGACTTGAATGTTTATGGTAACATTAATTCAAAAGCCGTTTCTCTCGTATTGGCCCATATGAAATAACCCTGCTGTATAGCTGAACATTTGTGGCGATGTAGGAAATATTTAATTTAACTTTGCTGAAACTAACACTTCTAAAATTCAGTTGTTTCAGTTATAAACCTGCGAGCATTAAAATCGGGCCACTATTCAAATCTGACTTTGAATGAAAATTATTCAAAATCTATATTTGGCTGTTTAGATAGAAATTTATCATCTGAAAACTCGTTCTTTTTCTTCATTAAATGACAGGTAAATCCTCCAGATTATCTGCCTAATAATGAATTTAAGATTTAAAACGAAAGCACTTTGAAAAACGCTACCTATGGTTTTGTACAGCAGCTGCTGTTTCGAGGCTCTACGAGAGCTAAACAAATTAAGGCCGGGCATGATTTTGTGAGCCTGTAGTTGACAGAGACGTCAATTGACTAATTGCGTTAATTTTGAAATGAAAAGAATGCACACTTCGCCAGAAGAAGCTGCTCAAGTGGTCGCACTCATTGATTCGGGTATGAGTTAACGTCTTGTGGCCGCCAGCTACACATGCACAACTGTTCAGCGGGTGTACCAAAGAATTATGGAAACTGGTGCCTTTACGAGAAGACTAGGATCAGGAAGATCTCGTGTTACATCACAGCGCGATGACCGATTTATTTTTTTAACATCTCTGCGAAATCGGCGATTAAATGGTGTTAAAATCCAGCAACAACTTCGAGACTTGCGAGGGGTGAATATTAGTCAATGGACAGTGAGAAGAAAATTACGGGAGAGGAATATGACACCCCACCCACCAGCAACTGGTCCAAAATTGACCGTAGCGCATCGTCAAACTCGGCTTCGTTTTGCAACTGAGCACCTAGACTGGAATTTGAATCAATGGAGCTCCATTATGTTTTCAGACGAAACCCGTATATGCTTATATGGCAGCGATAGAAGAAATAAAGTTTATAGGCGACCCGGGGAGAGGTTTGCACAAAATTGCATTGAAGAAAAAGCTAGTTATGGGGGTGGTTCTTGTATGGTTTGGGGTGGGATATCGTTAAATGGGAAAACAGACCTTGCTTTTATTGTCGGACCGGGTCATGGTCCTTGAAGAAGGGGCTTAAATGCGCACCGATACATCGAGAAAGTTCTGCAGGAACATGTGGTGCCTTATGCAAGATTTGTTGGCGAGGACTTTATTTTTATGCATGACAATGCGAAACCGTATACTGCCCGGATAGGCACTCAATACCCTCGGGAAGTTGGTATAGCGTGTTTGGCTGGCCAGCACGTAGCCCGGATATGAATCTTATAGAACATCAGTGGGATGAATTTAAACGAAGAATTAGAGATAGGATCCCGGCTACTGGGCACTCCAAGAGTTCAGAATAGCCATTGAGGAAAAATGGGCTAATATCTCACAAGAAGTTGTCGTCACCTTAATTGAGTCCATGAATAGACGAACGCGAGCGGTTATTAGAGCTAGGGATGGCAACACCGAATATTAACATCATTTTCTTCTTTAAATTGTTGATTTTGTTAACATAAAAAATTTCGTTATTGAACAATTTTCTTTTTTGCCCAAAAAAGAATATTGCAAAACAATTTCATGAAGTTTTTCGTATCTCTGTTTTGGAGACAAACATCTGGTCTTTCTAATGGCTTTTTTTAGTTTCTTTAATAAGTGTAATATAGTTTGGGGAAAATTTTATTCAAAGTCAGATGTGAATAGTGGTCCGATTTGTAGCCCGATTTCAACGCTCGCACGTGTAGTAATAGTTGTTTAATATTTAAAGTGGAAATAAATTTCCAAATTGGATTTTCCTTATCTTTGAATGGCATCATCGCATTAAAAGTAATAGTGAAACCCAAGGAAAATTGTCCCTGAAATAATTGAGTATTTGTTGTATATTTAATGATTTTTTAAAAATCACGAGTTAATTTTACTGAAATTTTTTGCAAAAAAATTAGATTAGTGTGATGCTTGTTCGATCAAAGAAAGAAAAGAAAGTGTCATATGAATTTTAATTAACAAATTGACCTTCACAGATAACTGCAGACAAAGGTCATATTTGCAAACAATGAAACTTATTTTGGAAAATAATTGGAGTGTTGGAAATATTACAAACGATGTAAATATAGCTCTTAAACAATTTTGCCTTGTTCTTCCTGTTTCTTAAAATAGCAAATTACAAAACATTTATTTTTGTTTAGTGACAAACGATTTAATTCTGGAATCTCCAGTAGTCTTAATCTCCACATCTTCTCAGAAAAACGGACTCCAGATACCAGTGAATATGATCTGAAGAAAAGTTGCGATATTTTTCTGTCTGCACTCTACGATACGAAATACGGCCTGAATAATTCAAGTAATGACTCCGAGAACCCAAATTGCCTAAAAGGTTAAAGTAGTCAATCTGATCGAAGGCTTTAGAAAAGTCCATCTGTCCATATAATACAGAATGATTTCGAAATATAAACAACAATTGTAACTACGGCATCACGAACCGTAGTAATGTAGAAATATAGAGAAAACAAATTAAAAGTCGAATTTGGCAAAACTCCCATGTTTTATGGTGATCGATCTTTCATTTTGACGGTCCTTGCCACAATGATTCCACATTGTTTATTAGAACAAACATAATAGTAACATGGAATGCTACTACCTTTTTACAATAAATGTTGAAAATGTTGTCGTTGACTAGCAATAGAGGTTTCAGCACGTCGGAACATAAAAAATTCTGGGAGTTCCACGAACTGTAGCTGAAGCTCTTTGATATTGTTTGCATGCTTACTGATTTCAATAAATTAACTGCTTCATCCAACCCCATAGACAAAAATCACACGGATTGAGATCGGGTGAACGTGGAGGCCAAGCTACTGCCCTTAACAACTATTCGAACTAAATTACACGATGTGGAAATTCAGCGGGCTTCGAAGCTTGCACTTTTTGAACGTGGTGTGGATGTAAGCCTTGTTTTTTTAATGTACGATGCACTACAAATTCTGAAACTTCAACTTCAGCTGCAAGTCGGCGAGTGCTGATGGGCTCTTTTTCGACGTGTTCTAAAATTTGTTCTTCAGCTAACAGTATTCTTTCGATCCTATCACAGTCACGATCGTGAGTTTGAGGCTTGAAGGTACCATGATCTTGGAGATTCTGTACCACTGATGGAAATCCTCGCGCATAGGGAATCGCGCGTTTTGGAAAGCGTTCGATCCACAATTCGTGGGCCAACCTGGCGTTTCCATGAGCCATGCCATAAAGTATAATACAAACATTGTAGACATTTCCAGAAAAGGATTTTTTTTCTTGTCTCATATCTTTTACGTCATTAAAAATAGCGAAAGAAATATTTTCTTTACTTCGAATTGAATAAATCCGGTCCTGGAAACCAGCCCTGAACGCTACTCAGGTACTTTTATGCTATTAAGAGTCAGTTTATAGAATATTTTGACTGAGATTAAGTTAATTACGCATTTTAATTAGGCGTTTAGCGACGTTTGATTGATGTATAGTTGGTTACGTGGTAAATACAGGGTGACTGCGAAATATATGCAATAATTTTAACCACGGCATCCCCCACCATAGTAATGTCGAAATATAGAAAAAATAAATTAAAAATCGAATGGGGCAAAACCCCCATGAACCACCCTCGATACGAAGACACTGAGCCACCGTGTAAATAGAGTTGGAAAAACGTTCAAATAAAAAGAACGTAAACACTTTCAGTTTCAATCAAAAGTAAAACTCTCTTTTTGCTGCTTATCATTCATTCATAGATTCATTCATCGGTAAAGGTCAGTGCGAAAGTTTTTTTGTAATGCTTCATGATGATCGACTTTTGATTCTGACGGATGTTTGGTCCTTGCCATAACGTTTTTACATTCTTTATTGGAACAAAAATAAGAGCAGCTCAGAATGCTACTACCTTTTTACAAGAAATGTTGACTAGCAATACAGGCGTCAGAGCGTCGCAAGATGTTTGTTAGGTAAAAAAACACCGACGTAGCGGCTGCCACTCTCACTTGTTGTTGAAGCTCTTCAATAATTTCTGGACACTGTTGATTTCCACAAACTAACTGTTTCATCCAATCGATACACATTATTCGAAAACCGTCTCTTGAAATCATACTTGTTGATGAGCATGTGGAGTTTCGTCGGACAAAAAGTGAGTGCTTCATCCGTAAACAGAATGCACTTTAAAAAGTTAGGGCGTTCACGACACTGCGGTAACAATCATTTGCAGTAAATTAGACAACGTGGACAATCAGCGGCCTCCAAACCTTGCACTTTGTCCTGTGAAACTCCAACTTCTTCTCTCTGTCCTATCACGGCCACGATAGTGAGTTTGAGATTGAAGGTACCAGGATCTAGGAGATGCTGTACCACTGATGCAAATGTTCACGCACACCAATTACCATATCGACACACTCTGCATTGGAAAACTGCACCATACACCGATTTCACTGACTGCCCGATCTTGACTGGCCATTCTCGTGTCTTTCACGTTGCGATTAAAAAAGTACCTGATAAAGTCACTTGTTTGGTTCTTAATCCGAGTCGCTCTGCTCCATTCATTGTAGTAAGTAATAATGTAGGTCACGAAACATTGCCAGCATTACAATTTATATTTAATTTCAAATATTTTTTTCTAAGTAGACACTGCTACCACTTAGGACCGTGAACTTTAGGCAGTGACATAATCGTATTGTGAGCTATTCCCCATTTTTTTTGCATGTATTTCGCAGTCACCTTGTATTTCATTGAGTTTCTGTCAACCAGGTCTGAGATTAAAGAAATGACAGTGATAAAGAACTCTGTTTTCAAATATTTCTAGAAAAACAATTTTGCAGGAAATTTTAAACATTTGGTGATATCAATATTTTCCTTGATATTGAGAGTATTTCTCCCCATAGAGTAAATCTCTCATAATGACGATGTTTCAAACCATTTTGGCCAAACCTTCAAAATAGACGAATACGTTGTCGGTTCTCTTTTCTAACTGATGATTTTTTTATAACTATATTTCTATTTTTGCTTTGATTTGAAACTAAATTCCTCGAAGTTTGATTTTTGAATATTTTAATTTCTTCATACTCGCGAAAAAAATTCATCAGCTTAAATTTCGAATATTTCATAGATTTTTCAACTATTAATTTAGAATACCCGTGTACGTTAAATAGGCCATTACGTATTTGACGTCAAACACAATTTAAAACAAAAGGAGTAAAAAAATTGGTCTAAAGTAGTTTAGACAGAACTTCTCTACCTCTGAACTAAAGGCGAATAAACACAATTTCTTCGAAAAATTATAAAATTATAATTTTTTTTTATTACGATAACCCCTATAAGTTAAAGACATGTATGAATTGTTAAAATAAAGGCAAATAAGCCTGCTGTGCGTGTGTGTTAAGTGAGGTTTCCCATTATATTTTGTAAAAAACGCCATCAATATTGTAGCTAGGACGCATAAGTATCAGTTTGGATAGGTGCATTGCAATTCCAGTAACAACAGTACTGTATTTATAAATTTTAGGAAAAAGTTGGTAAGTTGTTTTTGATTTGATCAATAAAATAAATTGCCTCACTCATATTTTCTTAGTCACCCTGTATAAGTATATTTAAAACATTGATATTTACATATAATATTTTGTACATTTTACATAGGATTTGTTCAGTAAAATTTTGAGATGATGTCATTAATTTTGGTGGAGGAGGGGATAAACGTATAAATTTTGAATAACCATTTACCATGCTTACAATAACTTCAAAACGAAGATTTCATAGCATTCGGTCTAGCAATTTTGATGTTAAATGGTAAAATGTTATACAATTTTCTTTTATTTGTCAAAAATCTGGATATAGGTAAAACAATTGTTTTAACAATTTAAATAGGTGCCGTAATTTTGAAGACTGTCTGTCTAATGAAAATCGCACCCGACAATCCGTAGATGGCGGACGACAGACGACAGATAGACAGATGGAAACGGCAGACCTATTTTTTCGTACTCTAGGGGTCATGCAACGAGGAGAAAACATGAAAGTAGCCATTCGCTGGATGGACCCATTACATGCGGTTTTAGCTTACACTTGGGAAGTAAAAAACTAACTTTACAACTAACTGTGATTTTAAAAATGAGTTGAAGCATTTCGCAGTGCGAATGTCGTGTTATGTTCTTAACATGTTTTTGTGCACAAAACTTGATGATAACTAATACATTATTCATGGACGCAAAACAGACTGTTTGTTAATTGATTAAACCATGTACGATTTATACATTATTTTGTCAGTAACACTATTAAGGTATTTTCTTCTCGAGTTTACTTATATATGAAAGTATCATAATGTTTTTATGGCAGCTAATCGAGTTATATTGCAGATCATCTCGTTTATTTGTGGTATCTTCCGTCGAAATGAACAATGCATGTATGAAATTATCTGGAAGCTTTAAAACTTAATGACAATTTTGTTGAAGTCTGATTTCATTTACTTAACTAGGAAAACTGTTATCTTATTTCTGTTCTAACTTCATCTAATTGTTAATATTCCGAGTTTTTGATATGCGTATTCATTCATCGAAGTATTTTATTTTGACTTCCAGTTTTTCTGCACCGCTCTTAAGAAAGTATATTGTGTTAATAATTTAATTAATAATAATTGTAAGCGTACTTATCTCTTCATGTTAATAAATCTCATAAAACTACGGCATGTATTATAGACAAGCCAATACATCAATAAACATTTGCAAATACTGATTTTTAGAGACTATGTGCTGCAAAAAATCTCTTCAGATTTCTCTTCTAAGTCAAGGTTTAATGAATGTACATAAATACTAGGAATATGTAAGTAAAGGCATTCTTATACAACTTATTCTGAATTAAAAAAATCATATCTTACCGGTTTCTCCTGGCCTATAGGCATGCTTGGCAGGACGAATAATGACGTCTCTGACGGGTCCGACAAGTCTCATTTGGGACGAGCTTTGTAGTTCACAGTGGTCGTTTCCGGTACAGTTTACTAACGTCTGCAGCACGTAGCTTCCTGACGCTTCTAACGGGACTTCCAAGGGCAAAATTCCGTGTCCTGTAGACAATATAGCTTAGTGTTAACGCATGATTAAACAATAGCTATAAGTTAATAATAAAAGATTCTTGTCACATAATGAGAACATGTTTAAATGCCACTGTGACATATTACGTTGACTTATGTGTACTTTTTTCGTCATTAACTATTTACACTACGACAACAAGTAATAGAAGATGAGAACTTAATTCCGTAACTGTCAAAAAGAATGCTTGCATCTAACAAACAACTACTTTATTTGAGGAAATTATTTTCCGAGATGCTAATGTTGCCAAGGTTTAGTTGAACTTGAATTGAGTGGTCTGATACTAGAACGGAAAAAGCTCATCTGATGTTATTCACACAGAATCTCCCCTGAAGTAGAATCAAAATAAATAGATGTGTGGATTGTTAAACTACAAGTAAAGAAGCATGCTATACCGGTTACAGGTGAGTATTTTCACAATGAAATTTTGTGATGACGTCATCAATTTTTTAGCAAGGTTACACATTAATTTATATACGTAAATTGTAATAATAATAATAATAATAATAATAATAATGTTTCGCAAAAATTTCAGGAAAATTCGGTAAACTTTCTTCATTCATTAAATTTTTCAGTCGACTTGGACAAGCAGTTCTAAAAATATGAATGCATTGAAAAACCTTTGCATATTTTAGATTGGTTTTATCTAGCAACATTTTGAGATGACGTTAGCAAGTTTTTGGAGGGGTTAAAAAGAAATACAATTTTTTTTAGCGATGCACCAAACGTTTGCAAGATTTCAGAGAATTTGGTGTTGCCATTTCTAAGTTAAATATTAGATGCATAACTTTAAAAATAAATACTGATTCATAAACTACAGTTATAGAATTTAATTTGTAGAATTTAAATATGATTACATTGCAGAATTTTGAAATGCCGGCATCGAATTGTTGGTGGGGACGATTAGACTAATATTGGTTACCATTTTAGCATTTACACAACATCTAAATACACCTAAAATGTCACACCAACCACTTTATTATCAGATTATTTTTTTAATCGCCAACAAACGAAAAATGACAAGTGACCGAGAGTTATGGCATTATTTTAATCGGGTAGTTTAATGTCTGCTTCTTCTCTGTCGTCCGTTATAATTTCCATGTAGATAAGCTTTATTTTATTATTTGCGATATACTTAATCAATTTTAGCCTATTAGGCATCAAAGGCGATAAAAATCGACATTTAGATATGTCAAAGCGAATATAAAAGAAGGACGATTGTTGAGAAGCGAGGACATCGAGAAAACGGCTCTAAACGTGCTGAAGCCGATAATTTTTCTAATCAATGGCCTAGATAAGCTCGAGGCAGAAAGCGCCGCTTGGTATAAAGACCTTATGGAATAATACTTGAAAAGCAAGTACATAATGTGTTCCTTGTTGACTGAAAGTTCAATTCGAAATTCCACACCGTGAATCAAACTCAATCAACAGGATTTTTTCTGGCCGAGTTTATCCAAGTTATATTCAACAAAACGAGTGAATCATACTTGGATATTCATTTAGTTGGAATCCTGGCGGGTTCTCAAGTTGCTGCCGTTGCAGGAAAACGAGTTTTGGAATTAACAGGAAGAGAAGTAAACAGAATTATGGTCTTAAATCCCACTTATTACTTAATTAATGATGAAAACTTGAAAATAGGCATTGAAAATGCTAATTTCGTTGATGTAGTTTATTCAGATTTAAGTAAATTTGAAAAGTCGTCTCGAGACGGGTATGTGAGGTTTTATGCTGATGACGAAAAGTGTGAAGAAGGTATTTTTGCCGGAATTCACCTGAAATTTATGTGCTTTCTATGTTAATAAATTTTTCTAGATTTCGGCGAGCTTATGGTTACGAAACTCTTTGCGAGGTCTATAAATTCTGACAAGTTTAAAGGTGCCAAGTGGGAGTCTGTGGAAGATTTCGGGACAGGAAATTGGGTAAAAAGGAAATCAGTTGTATTTGGAGAAAGTTTATAAAATACCAAAAGTAATTATGGTGAAAACGTACACGACAACTTTCATTGTAACACAGCAAAGCGCTTTGTGTTGTTGTGGTTCATGCGCTATTTCTTGTGAGTGCGGAATAATTCCTTAAAAATTTGTATTAATCTCGCTGTTAGCGTAAAAATTAAGTTAAAGACATTTCGTAAACCAGACACACAGAAAAAATTGTACAATAACATGATTTCAGAAACTTGTTTACTAAAGATAATAGTGTTTTTTCACTGCCTTGTTAAATTTTGATACCGTAAAAATTATTAGGCTTACGTCATGACATCAAGACAACACGTTGCGCTCACCTATAACCCCGAAAATATTGGATGCAGTCAATGTAATTTTGTCAAAAAAGCGTCGAGTTATTTAAGTAGACAGTTTTTTCTGCTAAGATGCCACAGCTGTCGGTATACTGCGATTGCTCCCAGAAAATTTAAGTACGTAAAGACGCGAAAAAACATTTCGTTCTACAGTTGTACAAAATTGTTGTGCTAAGAGAACGTAGCCGCTGATTAAAAACATCTATAAGTAACGAATTTGGTATTTCTAACTAATGTATTCACCTGAAAATGGAGTATCTGAACAATTTCGTTAGAACCTTTTTTCTTTTTGGCGATTTTACCGGGAAAAGAATAGTCTTGACACAATTTCATTTTACTCTTTTGTGTACAGATGTTCACTGGAGAGTTAAAAGCATATATAAGCAGAACCTTATTACCCTTGGGATACGGTGATTTTAAGATATTGCAAACAATCTCTGGGCTAGATCAGCAATAGCGCGCTTGCGAAACATTATGGAAACGACGGAATTCAAGAACATAATCAAATTGATTACGTTGACGCAAACGTCCTATTTATTTTGAAATGCAAAATTATACTCGACCTTACGCCTGCTTCTGCTTTTCACTTCGGAGTGGTCCGCTTTTAATATTGGATGTTCTTTGAATGAAACTTTGTGCTGCCTACCTGAATGCGTATATTTTATGTGTAAAAATGAATTTTACAATGAAATATTTGTAGGAGTTTCAAATATAGATCTTCAGCTTTTAAAGAAACCTTTGTAAGTGTAAAACTCTAAATAGTAGGAAAGACTCAACAGTCTACTGTGATTATTATTACAAACTTTAGAAACTAACATGTTCACGGAAACTTTTATTATGTGAAAATACAAACTTTCTTATATCAGATTGTTTCAGCTAAATTTTAAAAACATGTTTTTGTGGGAAACATTACTCTAATTTTAGAAACAATAGGTAGGTACGTAAAAAAATTCAAACAGTCAGAATGCTTAAGTTGGTTGATGTAATTTTTCTAAAATTGTAAGAACACCAAATTGTTATTTTTAGTTTTGGAGCACTTGAATAAAAATGTGTACTTTTGTATTCAATATTTGCTGCACCATTGCAATTTTATTATCTAAAATTTAGCAATAAATTTGTAGAATAGAACCTTTATATACAATTTTTCAGTCCTACCTCGACTCATTCCTGAGATTAAGGATCAAAGTTTTTTTTTAATTTTAAAGTGCCTTTTTTGTTAAAAAATAATGTCTTGTTTATCGCTTAACGGGCCAAGATTAATTTGTTTTCTCGACGTTTCATAACCTCAAGAGTATAAAAAAATAGGGCTCCATCTGTCTGTCTGTCTGTCTGTCTATCTGATGACTGTTTTGATTTTTATTAGACAGATAATCTCGATCGATTGTTATTAAATTTTATATGTGTATTACAGTCTAACATCCCAAATAAGGCCTATCTGCCCTCGTCTGTTTTCCTAACGAAAAATATTTTTCACCAAAGATAACATATAAACCAACAAGTTGCGGATGGGTTGTCTAATTATATCAGCTCAAGGCTACCCTTAATCTTAATCTTAATCTAATATAAAAGTGTTTGTTCTGACTAACTGATTCATCAACACAGAACCTGAACTACTGAAGGTATAGAAACATGAATTTTGGACAATAGGTTTCGTTTGTAATGTAAGCAACCGCTAATATTTTTTTTTTGGAAATTTCACCCCTAAGGGGGTAAAATAGGGAATGAAAGTTTGTATGGGAGTCCCGTGGGTTTTAAGTTACACGGTCTCTATGGAAGAACGAAGTGAAAAATGAGGTGTCGTAATTGTCAAATTCACGCAAGCGGAGTTGCGGGCAACAGCTCTTCTAGTTAAAAATAATGTAATTTAATTTTTTGTTAATTTCTTAACTCATTTATTTTCTCAGAGAATTCAGTTCCACTCGGGAGTGCAAAACATAAGACACAAGAAAAAGTTAAGGTTGTCTATATTTTACTGCTCCCTATTACCTGAGTGTCAGGTATAAACAGGTGAGTTGGTATTTGTATATACTCATCTGTTTTAGAGTGGAATATACATATGATATTAAAATAAAGATCATTTTATTGCGAACACTTTGGTAATTGGTTGTCTAAGCAAAATCGATCAATACACACAATTGTCGCGTTTTAAAGTTTCTTGGAGGTCTGCAGAATTCAAAATTTTGAATTCAAGAATTTCATGACTCATTATTAGACTTTTTGTTTACACCGTTGCCATGGTAACCGCGCCTCTATTCGCTGTATTTGGCTGGAATCGGGTCACATTTGAAACAGTGACCACTAGCAGTAATTCAACTACGGTCATTTTAATTCTGCGTGAGTGAAATTGTTTGATTTTAAATAAAAATAATGCATTCAGTTGAATATTATAAAAGATCCTCCTCTGTCTCGCAACGATAAAATTGTAGTGAAAAATTTAGGGAGAGCCACCTCCGATTTATTAATTAAAAAAAAGCGTTCATGGCAAAACGAGAGACTTTCATAAATATATATTATGTTATTAGCAGTGCGCGGAATTCTATCTCAGTGCTGCAATCCCCCAGTTGAGTAAGGTGTGTTTTACGCCGAGTAGCAGGGACGCTTTGATCTGGTCCACAAGGTCGTAGCCAGTGCGTCTCTAGGAGTGTTTACAGCTAGTAAAAAAACTACTTCTATATTACT